ATATATGATTTGAATTCCCTTTAACTGGCTACATTGTGATTTGATTTAAGGTTAAGAATTGATCCAATCCGATCCATAATGTCATATTAAAAGTAGAGCATGCATACCTTGAATGAATTAATTCAACACCCTTTTGAGTGAGCAAGAACAACCTCTGGATTTAGCATGCTATTGAAAAGGTGAAGTTGATTGAAAATGTTGAAGATCTAATTGTAGTTCAAAATTAAATATATTTTAATTTATCATCAAATTGAATCTATAAAATGAGGCTGACCTTCTAATCCTTTGTTTGGTGAATGAAAAAAGTAAGCTACAGGTCCAATTAGAATACTTCATGACCAGAACCAGTTTCATAAGCAAAATATTGTTTAAAAAGAGTTACTAAAAAAATTTAGTATCTAGAATATTGTAAATAGCTATCAAACGTATTTCTGAACTCCTTGCCCTGATATTTAGGAGCTGTGCTGTCTTATTACTGATTCCTTTTGTAAAGTTCCTGTGCTCTTCATTGAGTGTATAAGAACCTTCAATAATATTTCAGATTCCATTTCATAACATTTAAGTTGTCTTGTATACAAAATATGATAGTAAACTTGGATATAGAAAAGCACAACTTCCTCCCCTTTGTATTAAAGTTCTCTTGAGATAAGCTTTCAAGCTTTCAATTGCTTTTTACATCAGAGATAGTAGGAACTGCAGATGCTGGAAAATCTGAGATAACAAGGTGTAGAGCTGGATGAACACAGCGGGCCAAGCAGCATCATAGGAGCAGGAAGGCTGACGTTTCGGGCCTAGACCCTTCATCAGAAATGGGGGAGGGGAAGGGGGCTCTGAAATAAATAGGGAGAGAGGGGGAGGCGGATAGAAGATGGATAGAGAAGAAGATAGGTGGAGAGGAAACAGACAGGTCAAAGAGGCGGGGATGGAGCAGGAAAGGTGAGTGTAGGTGGGGAGGTAGGGAGGAGATAGGTCAGTCCAGGGAGGATGGACAGGTCAAGGGGGCGGGATG